AGCTCGAAAGCTTATTGTTATGAATGAAACTGGAATGTCTAGTACGGAATGGCATAAATTTAACGGGCATCTCAAATCCCTTATAACGGAAGGAATGGTGTCTATAGAGCGTAAGGGTATTGAAACAAAGCAAATTAGAGATTTCACTGGGTTTATGATTACAAGCAATCAGGACGCTCCACTCAAAATAGATATAGGAGATTTTCGTGTAGTCTGTTTTGATGTTTCCTCACGTTGTAGAGGCAATACAAAGTATTTTAAGCAACTAGGAAAGGTTCTTGACCACCCCGACGCACCAGGAGTTGTCATGAGATATCTTCTTAGTCGTGACCTTTCAGATTTTAAACCACAAGAAATTCTCACAACTAAAATGAAAGTAGATATAATGCGTGACCAGCTTCCTAATCCTATTCGATTTTTAATTGATTATATTACATCTTGGGTTGAGGATAAAGTAGCCAGCCCAAGTCATACATCATTGTATCAGAATTATCTTGAATAGTGTGAAGAAAATGGTGAAAAGATATTTCCTAACAACATTTCTGGTAAGAAATTATTAGAGAAAATATTATTGAATGCAAGAGAGCAAGTAGTAGAAAAAGAGAATAGCAATATATTCTTGACCGCCTTAAAATCATAGCTAAGCTCTGTGAATCAGGCCTAGGTGATATCGAAGAATTTTCTGATATACCTCAACCTGACTTACTCACAAACGAGACCACAGACATACCTATATTCAATGTATCAGAAACCATCTCCCAGAAAATAACTCCGCCTCAACCAGAAGAGAATCTCCCTCTAAGGGATAAGAAAGCAGATAAACAGGATGATTCGACTCAAGATTTTTTCGACTATATATCAGAGCAAGTCGAAGTCCCAATCGCCTCAACATCTAAGACTTCCAAAATGCCTGAGTCATTCATTAATAAACCCGAAGTTAGTAAGCTTCCCGAATCTATCAAACCTGTAAGTAAAATAATGAATACGTCTCCTAAAGAAGCTGATTCTTCCAAGCCTAGTAGCAATGAACTATCATCTGCCATACTTCTGACCAGAGCTCAGCGAGAAGAGTGTCTCAGAAAATGGGCTATCGATCATGGTGAAGATCCAGATATCTTCGTGACTATCACAGAAAAGGACAGGCTCGATTCATTCACATTTTGTGATAGAATGAAAATGGATTCACAGATGTGTGATTGGGCCATAGAGATGGAGGATGATCCCAAAGAACATATGGATATGACAGTGCGTGAAAGATTAATAGAGGAAGAAATTATCCGTCATTCTCTTAAGGAAGATGGGATCATATCCTCCTGGCTTGATACCGATGAAGAATGGTAAAAAAATATAAGCATACTCCAGAAAAATGGTATGCTTTGGTAAAGAGCGAATAAGAAGCCAGTTTAGCCAAAAGCGCTGTGCATAAGAAAGGTGTTTGGGTAAGAGGGTCTTTATGTTCTTTACTCATAGGCGATATAAAATTCTAAATTATTATAATTCCATGACTATGTATTTTTTTTCGCATATCCTATCTACCTATGCATAGCGCCTTTCGGCCAATTTTCAAAATATATATATAAAAGATATCCTAGTCAGAGCTCGTGGCCTTCGCAATAAGTTATAATAATCTTTTTGTCTATTAATCATGGTGTAGTGAATTGTCAGGAGAATTATTTTCGAATTGAACTTTTTTGTACGTAATATAAAGTTAGTACATTTTAATATCCTTGACTATAGTGTCATAAAAATAATATGGCAAAAGTAGCTACAGATTTCATGGAATGCCATAAATGAACCTCCGAAACTCCATCATCTGAACTAGCCAAATACACAGAGGAAATTAACAAAAGTTTGAAGGATAATCGCAAGGTAAGATTCAATACCAAAATGCGTTTTTGACAATTAGGGCTTACTAAGGAACAAGTAGAAGTTCTCATTCCTATTCAACCTACTGGAAAGCGTGAAGAAGGCAGGGATACTATTGATAAAATTGCTCAAGAAATTGTGAACAACGACTTTCCACCCGAGAAAATAAAAGAAATTTCAAATGATCTGGCCAGTTCTGCACCTAATCTAGTCGCAGGAAGTTCTCGGCTCACTTTATTGCGAAAAAAGTTACGCGATCGTAGAGCTGATCATTCTAAAAAAGAAGCGACCAAAATTCCACACATTACTACAGAATCGAATAAAATTTAAGCACACCGGCATATATTTGATGAAGATGAGGGCTTTGAATGCCCTGAACACTACTACTTAGAAAAGGTTCAGGAAAGACTTGACAAATGCGATATTTTCTCGTCTCCTTCTAAGAAAAATCTGGTTGATATAATGATAATGTTGTCTATGCGACCGGCAGATGTTGCTGGTCTTTCTATTGAGAGATATGATACATCAGACAAGATGTGGTATAAGTCCAATTATAGTTGGTATTGTACTGGTTACTTCAAAATTAAGGGTGAAACAGGATCAGGAGAACCCCGACCTTTTCTCTCAATGGAAAAAGATCCAATACGAGCAAAAGAGTTGCTCACCTGGATTCAGAATGCAATACCGGAAAAATTCACCTTCTTACAAAAAAATTGTAGTGGTATAGTTAACGTAAATCCAATTAATACCACTATAGCTGAGCACAGAATTACTTCACGTAAATTAAGAGTAATAGGTGCGGACCATGCTAGCAGGATCCATGGGGGTAGAAATGATTCTTATCGTCAATATTTGCGGAAATTGGCTTGCAGATAAGTAGTAGGTAGAGTTGTATCAGTAGAACACTACAGCATAATGAACGATCTACCTTCTTGCAATTATTCGAAGGGGTCAGGGAATCAGGCAAAAATAAAAGAAAAAATGGATTAATCTTACCGATGTAGTGATTATGTTCTGAACATGTCTGGTTGATCAAGTAAAGCCATTCAAGCTCTTTGATGAAAACTAATCACATATAAGAGTTAGACATCATTTATTAAATTTATTTTTTTTTCGCTCGTTTAAGATCTAGTATATAGAATATATCACGAAAATGGTAACCGATCAAAAGCATTCATCTGAGTCTTCCGAAGATTCTGATTCAGTTGAGATAATTGAGGTAAGAGGGGCTGTTCTCATAAGCAATGAAGAAAGGTGCGACCAAGAAAGGTTAAGCGAGTGGTAGTTTGAAATGGCTAAGTCAGAAGGATTCGAAATATCAGGTGTTGAATAGAGGTTTAATTTTATATTTGAATATTATATATGCCATAATAAAATGGTATTCGTGAATTGTATAGTCGAAGAAAAAATCACTATTGAGGCATTAATTGATACGTCTACTGATGTAAATTATATTAGCCAAAAACATATTGATGAATTAGGAATTACATATCATAGTGAAAGCAATAGAATTGTAATTCCAGATATATCTTATTTCACATTAGGAAAGGTCAATCTGCATATTAGTTTTGAAGATGGCGAGAAACATAAAAATAAAAGCACACCCGTTGAATTCATAGTTTCTGGACCAGATTGGCCTGATTATTTTCCTGATTTAATTTTAGGAGGATCTTGATTTCAAGAAAATGGTGTAACTTTGGATATATGCAATTCAAAACTATTATTAGACGATAATTTTGCGATCCCGATCCTGGTCGAACCCTTCCATTCGAAGAAGTAAATTACATTTCGACATTATCTGATAGTCAGATCTGAGCTATAACTGATTTTCCCAACCCAATCAATAGTCCGGAGCAGTGATCTACCAGCGAACTAGGCTCAGCTAACTTTATTTTTTTTCATTTGAAGATACAATATATAATATGTACTATGTATGACGCAATCAAGCATCTTTTATTTACCAGAACTATTAGAACAGATTTTACATTTTTTAGCGATAGATAAATCTCTCTACCCTGCTCTATTTGTTTCTCGATTGTGATACAGATGTGCCATTTCTAGCTTATAGAAATATATCAAACTAAAGGAGAATGACCTGAAATGTTACCATTATTTTCCAGACGATTATATCTATTAAGAGAGAGACTGTACTCATTTGGAAAGATTTGTAAAAATAATATGCGAAAAGTATAAGCCAGCTTATGTCTCGAATGTAACCTATCTAGAAATTACTTATTACCATTTGCTTTCGGATAGAAAAATAAAAAATATTGTAGATACATTCCCGAATATAATTCATTTAAATTTCAAAGAAAGTATAGGTTTTGGTGATAGATCACTATTTATAATAGCGGAATCGTATCCTAATTTGAGATATCTTAATCTGTGAAACGCCAAAGAAATAACTGATAAAGGTATATATGTAATCGTAAGATCATGCCGTAAATTAGAATATCTAAATATTTCTTACTGCAGAAATATTACCGATAAATCTTTGTTTGTAATTGCAGATAATTGCCATGATTTGCAAGAGTTCTATTTGCCGAAGTACGTCAGATCACAGATAAATCTATAAGCTGCATCTTAAACTCATGCCCAAATTTATGAAATCTTGATATTTCATATAGTAGGGGGGATGTCAAAGATGCTAGTACTTTGATGTGAAGATACTTCAAAATAGAGTATCTTGAGTTTAGTAGGACTATGGCTTTGTGGAATGATGAATTGATTATAGCCATCATCAAAGAATCTTCAAATTTAAGACACTTAGAAATCGATGGTAATGATATCACTGATAGAGTTACTGAAGCACTGGCCCATTCTTGTCATAAATTAGAATATTTTGATCTAAGTGGTTGTACATTCATTAGTAAATTATCAATCTGCAATGTTATTCGCTCCTGCCTGAAGATTCAGCATCTCAGCCTTAGATATTGCAATATTACCAGTACGATTATCAAAGAAATTGCTCGCTCATGTCTCAATTTAAAATTTCTAGATTTGGAAGGATGTGAAAATATTAGCAAAAAAGTCATAGACCAGCTAAATCCAAATATTCATATCGATTTTGATGTAGATTACTATTCCGATTCAGAATCTTCTAGCTCTGAAGCTGAATCAGAGGATGAAGTTGCCTATGATAATGATGTATCTCCTCCGATGATTATGGGCACGGCTGATACTCTGAACGATTTTATTACCGCATTTAATGATTATCTTAGACAGGCTGATGGTGCTCAGAATATTATTTCTGTGTTTCTTAGTCAGGAATTAATACAGCCTTCTACAGAATGGTGGTACAATACCAATCTAGCTAGTCCGGAGCAGTGATCATCAGCTCGGAAGAATTTGCTAAGCCATTCCTATGCGACAAAAAATAATACCATAGATATTATATATCATGGACGCGATCCCTGTATTTATTTTCACATATATTAATAATAAAACATATGATATATTTTTTATTTTGAATGCTTATGTACATTGTATTAGTTATATATAGATCATGTCATCTAAGCTTGAATCATTGAAACAGCGTATAACTGAACTTGAGGCTGAGCTAGAGGCCAAGAATTCTAAGATTTCTGAATTCAGAAAGAAGCTTGCTGAATTTGAAGCCAGGGATGTCGAGATTTACGAACTTAGAAAGAAGGTTGCTGAGTTTGAGGCCAGAAATGTGGAGCTTATAAAGCAGGTAACGGAAGAGAATAATAAACGTGACGCTAGAATTGAGAATTTAGAGAAAAATAAGACAGATACCACTGATAGAGTTACTAAATTAGAGCAGAATCATTCGCAAAATGATAATACTCTTAACGACAACTCATCTAAATTCAATTCAGATGCAGACCATCTTGAAAAATTATCAGAGGATAAGGAGATAGACACTTTCCTAGTCGAGGTAAGTAAGAAAAGCATTGGTGAAGATATTAGGTGATGCAATAAGGAGAAGAAACTTCAGCGTAAATCAATCGACCAGGACAGCACCATGCAAAACACCTATCAGCCCGATACTGCTTATGTACCAGAAACTGTTAGTAATGTTGAGAAGTCATATGAGCCAGAGATTAATAAAATTATTAATTGTAGTTCCTCAGAATCACTTCATGAAATGGAGGTGGTTGCTCCGCAATCGGTCAATGTAGATACCCTTAGGGAGAAATCACCACGGTGGATTTGAAAGTGTCGTATGATATAAAATCCATTAACGAGTTTTCTGAAAATTCTGAGTTATCACGTGATATAAAAACCGTTACAGTGCGTAACAGTTTTTCTAAAAATTCAGAATTGTCACATGGGAGACCGGAGGAAGTGAAACGAAAAACCATTGCCAATACTTCGTCCACCCTCTGTCCAGAGAAAGGGACGAATGAACAAGCTTTAGCTACCGAATTTATACAAGATTTGTTGGAAGAGCTACTCTCATCTGATGATCCACTCCAGACTATAAAGTTTTCTTCTCCCAAAACCATAGTTTCTGGATCAATAAGCATCAAAAACATGCTAATTCATTCTGCTAGGCGAATGTTGCAAGAAATAAAATGATTATAGCAAAGCAATCAGAGATTACGTTATGGCATTTATTCTCCGAAAGGTTTGAAAATAAAGTCGTGGAGCTTAGGTCTAATAATAAGAAACTTACAGATCTGACTGCAAGAAAATAAATCTATAATGAAATGAAGCTATATCTCACAGGCATCTCAGATGGATATTTACGTATAATGACCTGTAGAGCAAGAAAAATTAATAAGCTATTTGGGTATGAATATGATCCCGTAACTCTGCAAAAGATAAAAGGTATACCAGGATACATGGTTAATCGAGTCACCTGTAGTGCTTATAGAATCTCAACTCTCACTAATCCCCAAATCTAATATATCATTAATCAAGTCAATTCAAAAATGATCACTAGTCCTGTGAATGAAATCTCTGAGCCTGTGGCTACTATTTCGGCTTATGACTCGGTCTACTCAGGTGATAATTTTAGAGACATATCAGATGATACAGATTATTTTAAGTTAGACGCTGACTCTGATGCAAATAAATCTGATTCTGATGTATATTTCAAATCCGATGACTCTGACTCCGATGATGAGAATGATTACAAACTTCATGAAAGGCTTACGCGTGAAGAGGTAAGAATAGTGAAGTTAGAGGATAAAACACCAACTAAATCTGAGGTAAATGACTCCGATTCTAATGATTCTGAAGAAGAGATGTTAGACGATGATGGGTATAATGAATACGGTAGATATGATGAATATAGTGGTCACGAAAGAGGCTATTATTATCGTGATGGAAGATATGAAAGGAAGGTCTCACTAATAATGAGTCCTATTATATCTCCAGTATCCGCCTAGGAGAATTTTGAATATTTAGTACTTGATTGTCTTATAAGTTTATTACTACAGTTCTTTTTCTTGAATCACGTGGGTGGCTTAGATATCATACGTTTCTAAAATATATCATGCGCAGTAATTACGTTATCTCTATTCATTGAATTATTAGCCAGTAGATCCTGCTGGAAGTGTAAAGAGTCTTCACGATTATCATATGACACAGCATGTATTGGCAAACTTTAGAAAAAAAAACTAGAATTGATGAATATCGTTCGAAAAAATAGTCGTGTATAATAAATAGTCTAAAGTCATAGAATGGCATCATATACTCAGGGCTAGTCCTGCATTATGTAATTTTTTTAGCTTAATTATTGTAAATAAAAGACGTTTAGGCCACTAAGTGACCTGAGCAATATAGTCAAATATTTTTCTCGTGGCGATTCAATGTACATACAGTGCTAATTTTTATTACTCACATGTTAATATAGGTAATTAGGAAATCTGGATCGGCAAATTATTACGTTTATTATTGTAAAGGATCCCTTGATGATCTTTACATATAGATAGCGTTAAATTCTTTTATTGTTAAATTAAGGAGAGTCCGTTGATTAGATTTTTGTGATGCGATTATATTAACATAATTTCTCCAAAAGCGTATAACAAAATTGACTCTGTAAATTATATAAAAAGGTGATGTCCTGACTAGTGAATCCTTTTATCCGCCTTGTGCAAATAACAAATAAAATAAGCGAAACATTCAAACTTACCATAATCAATATTATCTCCAATCAAACAAATGAGTATATTCCGCAAAGTAAATAATAAAGTAAGTTAGTTTATTGCTCGGCTAGCTTCTTGAAATATGTTATCATGATCTTAATCAATTTTCTGCTATAGATGTTCCAAAATAAAACGGACATATTGCTCTACTTGTTATATATCAGCATTTTGATCTTTGCCGTTGGCAATTATCACGCATACAATAGACGCAGTAAAATTACTTACATGAATCTCGTCATATGCAATGGCACAGCAAAAATCTGGCACAGTGCATCAAAAAAATTACCTTATATAAGCACCTTCACATGCTGAATTCTTGAAACTATCGTACCAGCGATAACACAGAAAAAATTAAGCAATAAATTTCTTATATATGAGCTGGAATGGAATTATATAAAAATGAATCGTGATTGTAAGTGTAAATTGGTAATGTTGTCTTGTATTATTTTTTTTACCTCAGTTGCTAACTCCCAAAATTATGCTATAGGTTCGAAATTTCTTAATCTTAGAAAAGTTCTCTTTCGAGGAATAATGTTTTATATAGTCTATGTGTTTGGGAGAGATATAGATGTGTGGGATAATTTATTTCAGAAATCTAGTATAATAAAAGGCTATAAGGGTAAGAATCACATAATTAGCAATAGAAGTATAAACAAATTAATTATAGATACTTTTCGTAAAAAATGTAAGAGAGCAAAGAAATAACTTGATGCTGGGACTCGCATTAAATGGCCTAGGATCCGCGTACTCCCTCCCTCTTTGATAGAAAAATTATTAAATATAACCCGATATTATATCAGCATCTGATTGATCCGATTGACAACTTGCACGATGTCCCTGTTGTAGTCCAAACGTAACCATGTTCCAAATCTGACTTGGGATATCCTCAAATCAAACTTGGAACAAGCCTATGTCCGAAATTTAACCATATCCCAAATTAATCTAGTCAGATTTAAAATATTAGTGTCCTAAACTACAATGTAAGACTGGGACATTGGTCAAGTTTCGGATATAAAATTTTCCCAAGGGACATGGTTTACAATACTGATCCCTTGGTAAATCTTACCATGTTTAGCGTCACACTGACATGTGACTGGCTGGCCAAAAACGCATAACAAACTTCAAAAAAACCTCTCAGCGTTATACTTAAGGTCTTTTTTCTTATTTTTCTTTTTCATATTATGATATGGTCTTACCGACTTTTTCTTTGCTTATTACCTTTCGTTAATAATTAGGTCAAAAGAAACAGAATGGAATACTTTAACGAACAAATTCGAATGAATGGTCGCTTAATGGATATCTCAAATGGAGATCCAAGTTTAAAGATTTTTCCAATAAAGTATATGAACATAGTGTCTTTCATGATTTAATCAAAAAGATTTCTGACCAAGGTGGAGCTGGGAGCAGAACGGCGAAGCTGATATTGAAAAATTGGAAGATTGTATTTTTTTTTAAAAAAAGTTTGTTGATGGGCTAAGAATCCGCAGATTCTTAGTAGACCAAGGGTTATTATTGCTACACACTAGTGAACCACGAAATTGCACAGTGATGACCAAGAGTCGGTAGTGATTCATCAACAGACTGCCGGATAGCGAAGCACCTCTGAACCATGTGTTGCAGAGTGTTTTTGACCAAGAGTCAATCGCTATCTTTCAGCGGTAACTGTAACCTTTAATATGAATGTTAAAATAGTTTAACATACTAATACAATAATTCATTAATTTAAGGATGAAAAGGATTCTTTGGAAGTAAACTCTTTTTGGAACAACTGTGAAGAAATAGACCAACAAAGGGAGAGGAAGAGAAAGATTTGGAAGATAGAATCTGCAGATGTAAGTTCATTTTACTGTTATAGTATCGGCAGTAACTTCTCCATTGGAATCATAAATGTGCTTTAGACCTCTTATACTGTCATGTTTTACTAGTGGGATTATCTTCACACACGCGATCAACAACTAAGTAAACATGTCAAGATCATCCGTGAAAATAGATGCAAGCATCTTGATCAAGATGAGATAAGGAGAAAGCTAGCATGTTCTTCGTATAGATTCATTTATTATGGTAATCTTTATTTGCCCTTTTATTATAATCAAAAATCTGATGATGAAGAAAGTTCAGAACCGAAATCAGATCTTGATGATAATGAGAAAGTAAGTCATATACGCTAGAGCAATTTGATTGACTTGATTTCAAATCGTCCAACTAAAAAATTCCCTGTTTCTTGTGGCGTGAACAGGTCATGATCGACGAGCAGACCGAACAA